TGGGTGGGAGGGCAGGGGGAGGTGCTGCACTGCTCTTACCTCCTCCCACCATCAGATACTTGCACACTGGGCCATGACTCTACTCTGCTGCAATGGCCCAGCTGCTACCGTTGCTGCTCCCCTCAGGCCACCTGTACAGCCCCTCACCTGCCCTCTGATGTAGAGCCAAAGCCCCGCATGCAAGTGGCTGGCAGCAGGAAGAGGTAAGGGCAGTGCGGCACCCCGATTCACTACTCTTTGCACTACTAGTGGTGCATTACTCCATGATGGTGCAGCTGGCATGGGATTCCTGGCAGTGGCAGCAGCAGCAAGTCTCACCACTCCACTCCTCTCTCCCAGGCCAGGTCCTGCCCATTGAGCCATAAAGGCACCCCAGTGTCAGTCTGGTCAGGTTGCAGTCCTGTGCCCCATACTGTGAATGAACAAAATCAAGGGGGATGTGATGTCCCCTGGATGAGCTGCCCATGGCTCTCTCCTGCTCCCTCCATCACCATGGGGGCTCAATGAGAGCCACCACCACCACCTCAGTCTGCCTGACCATAAACTTAGCTGCAGGTAGCTGGGGGAGCTGCTCTCTACCACACTGGATGGGACTGTATTGCTGGTCATATCCATGTAGTGCCCCCTATGTTCGATTGCCCTCCTCCCACTTGCCCCAGCTTCAAACAGCCTCTTGCAGGATGGAATTAAAATCATTCCCTAGCAGTGGGGGCCAAATACATTAACAGGTGTGCCACACATTAAGCCATGTTCCCTCCCTAAGAGCTATTCTGGTCTTCTTTCCATACCCAATTCACTCTTCTGCTTTCTGCTCCCTGCCTTACCTGTCATCTGTGTTCCTTGCTTCCTCCCCCATCTACTACATGCCACTCACAAAGGCTGCCTGTGTCACTTCTGGCATGCATGACATGGGTTGGCTACCCTTGCTCTAGCAACCATGCTTTATTATCACTTATGAAATATGGTATAACATAAGTCAACGTATACAATTATAAGGCTTGTGTAATTACAGTAAACATTTGGTGCCAATGTGGAATTAAAATGTACATTACTAGAATATTAAAAAAAAATTAATAAAAAATTAAGCTTACTACAGGCAGGAAAATCATCCCTCCAGTCTCGTACAGGGTATCCTGCATGTGAGCATGCTCTAGCATACTCTGTCACTGCTCGGCAATAAGTTTCATCATCATCCATTCTGAAATGGAAAAATGGTTTTGTAAGCACTGGGTCCATCCACACTAGACATTTGCTGCAGAGTTGGTTTATTAGCTCCTCAGTAAATTCTCAATATCTACATATGCAGCCCTATTAGGCTGCAGGAAACTAATTAACTATGCCACAGGTTAGTACTTGTAAATGCAAGTACTAACTAGTGCCCGTTTTATTTCATACAGAGTAAATGCATGTGTACATGCTGACAGGGTTGGCTTGGGCATGAGGGGGCCTCAAATGCAGGGCTGCCTGCCAGCTAGCCCCACACTGGTGCACCCTCATCGCCAAGCCAGTCCCTCCACAGCATGTTGAACTGGGTCAGAGCAGCCCCAGACTAGCAGGATGACCCCTGGGGCACACTGCCAGCTGGGGCTGCTCTGACCTGGATCAACATGCTGGGGGTCTCAGGGCAAGGTGAAGGCAGTCCCCAGGAACAATAAACTCAAGAGTTTATTCATTCACGTTAATTTCATGTGTAGACATGCCCACTGAGTGCTAAATGCAGGATTTATGACTATTTCTCTCCTATATAACATTGCAGAACTCTATACAGGGCTAGCAATACACATTGTGAAAATGATACAAATTACAGCATCAGCTGAAAAAAGAAACTGGGACATTGCATATGTTTTCACATGCTTATGTTTTTAAATTTTCATGTTACAACCACAAACATAGTTAATATTTTATTACAAAATAAATCAATGCTAATTAACAGAAGAAAACAGAAGTCTTGTAATGAAGGCAGTAGAGAAGACGACATAGATCTTATTCCTGACTGTCAAGGAATTTCTGTTTGACCTTGGTCAAAATAACTCCGTATACCCCAGCTATAAAATGAGGGTGTCCCTCTGTCAAAAAGCCACTATAAGTATATAATCATTAACAATGGCATAGAGCTCAAACTCATGGGATGGGAATTGTATATAGACAATCTGGAAAGTCACGACCATTTTAAAATTAACTTAAGCCCATCATAATCTGTCATTCACTATGGAGGACGTATTGCCAAAATAATTAGTCACAAGACATCTTTATAAAAAACAAAAACAAAATTAGAACATCTTGCCTGCATTTACTTGTCTTTCAGCACTACTAGATCAAGCTTCAAAAACTAATAGTTCTAAGAATATGTTACATTGTACAGGTTCTGCTTTCAACACACCTCTTAGAAACTCAAACACCACTGTACTTTTGTTATGTCCATCAGAGCCTCCCTAGGTCTCCTCACATAATCCAATTAAATGAGTCTTATTGAAACAGTGACTCGGCATATCAACTAGGCTCCACAAGGAACTTCCTAAACTGATGCTAAGCTGAAAGATGAGAGGTTAAGCTGCAAGATGAGAGGTCTGTTATGAACATAAGCCTAAATTAATGAGATCCTGAGACATGGAAGCTTCCTACAAAAGTTTAAAATACTGACACCATTCACAACACCTACAGGCATGTAAAAAAAAAAAATCCTCCCTGATATTCCCTCAGTTGACTCAATGTCATACTGAAAGTTTGTTTTACATTTTTCTCTGGGTGCAATAGAGTTATGAAGATGCAAAAATATTTTTTTTTAATTGTCTTATAAATAAAATTCAGGTCCAGCCCGACTTTGGCTGCCAGTGAGATCAATGGAAAAATGTCATGGGCTTCCATACAAACATTTTAGTCCCAAAGGATATAAACATGCAACCTGTCATCTGTGGGAGAGCAATACAACTGGGCATCTGGGGCATGGCAGTAGTGGCTATTTCTGGTTGCTGCTGTGTCACCAGCACAATCACACAGCTACCAGCAGTAATGTTTTTTTCATCTCCCTGACCTCACTTTCCCCACAAAGTTGGTTGCTGGCCCTAGTTACACCACTGCTTGTCATATCCATTTTAGGGCAAAATAGAAAACTAAAAATTAGCAGCCTATTATATTAGTCAGTGGTAATAACATCATGAAATAGCACATAAAATGGAAGCTACTGGATGGGTAGTTCTTCAGCTCACTATACTGATCACTTCTGCACCTCATTTCAACAAAAAATTGATAATTTACTTTGACAAAGTAGCAGAAACAGATATTGCTATTCTTATTACCTACATCACTAAGATTAATTTCTAATGAAAGAGTTTCTATTTAAAAAGTAAACACTTTGCTTGGTCAGCTATTCATTTGCAGCATACCTAGGAGATCATAATAAATATGACTGACTGAGATTGTTGGAAAAGGAATCAACACTGCTGGTACTCTAGTACGTGCCAAGTAAAACAAATTATTATTAACAGAGCACAGTGGCCAAGAAATTCTAGCATGCACAGTATGGGAAGCAAGGAGAAATACAGGGCTTATTTCATCCCTCTAATGTCTATAATCATTGTAACCTCCTTGAACCTGTTTGAACTTGACCCATTGCTTAGTATGGTTAGAGCAACCACTGGGATTGAAAACAGAGATGCTGAGACATGAAACTGGGGACCCCGGGAATGACTGGCTGCTATATTATACCCCCAAAAATATTTAATACCACCCTTCTTACCTGCAAAGGTCATTCATACAGCTAGAAATATAAGAATAAGGATCTATGCTTTCATGACAGCTGAGAAAAGGAAATTGTAGGAGCACTTGGCACTTGAAGAATATGGCCTGTGCAATAAAAACAAGAATTATTCCTTTTAGTTCCACTCCCCCACAAAAGAAAACTAATACATAAAAAAAAAAATTAGTCTACAAGGTTCCTTTCAGAATATAAGGATTCCCCAATTTTCTCTTGTATTGTTCCTTATCTCTACTCTATTCCTCCTGCATCATGATTAATATGTCCATCATACCAGCCTGACAACTGAACTTCTAAACTAGTCAAAGATGACAACTGTTAATGATGAAAACTATTCACTTCCACATTGGAGCTAAGCCTGTTTCTTGTGCTGTACAGTGTTCTCATGACATAATGAGATGCAAGAGATCAGGACTGAAAACTGAAATCACAGGCCGAGGTGCCAGTGAAGATTTCTTAAACAGGCCAGTTGGCAAATTCATTAGCTACACAAAACTTAATTCATCCTAGTTTGCCAGAAACCCTCTAAGGACCAGCCTGATCTGAATCTTCTCCCCAAAGTTCAATATGTTTAGAGCAAGTGTTTAACTTTAGATCCAGCCCTTTTCTGCATGCTGGGTATAATACATATATTGAGCCCATTTCTGATCTCATTTACACTATTCCTTTCCTTACTTCCTCTTTTGCACTATAACGCTACTGGCATCAATAAAATTAATCCTGGCCTCAGACTATATGACATAAGAATCAGACTAACTGAGTTTAAAAGTCCTTTAGCAGTCTGAAGTGTTTCTTAGGATTATGAAGAACAAAGATGAATACATTTCATTTATTCATTAATATATTTAATTTATTATGTACCAATATAAATTGACAGAAACTGATCAATTTAAATGATGCTATAATATTAGTCTTTTAAACTATTTTACCAAATTTTAAATCAATTGTTTATTAGGCATTTTTGGATTTCATACAGACATTTTTAGGTTCTATGCAAGAGCCTTGGTTTTGGCAGTGTTTTGGCATTTCAAAACAATGGTACTGCCACTTAGTATAGGCTAGAGAAACTTATTGCTACAGTGCACTCAACAAATTTGCACTGACAAGCTTACCTCAGAAAACTCTGTGTCAGCTGAGCATGGACTAGAAAAATCTGAGGCAGTAGGTACACAAGTTGCATCCTCCAGGGTTTGCACAGACCAGCTATTTGCAAATACAGCAATGTCTTCTGTATAGTGACCTACTTCATAGAAAATATTGAACAGCATCACTTTCTACAAGCAGATAGGTCTTCCTGTCAAACCAAAACTGATTTACCACTTGAGCAAAGCATTAAAATAGGCTTCCAATAATTGTTTTATGCACACTTGATCCAAATTACACATATAATCAATCAATAATTTGCGATATTTACAAATTCATTTGGTGTAAAATATGAAATTAACATGAAATATAATGTGTTAAGTTTTAAAAAAATTACTACAGTAAACTTTTTTTTTTTTTTTGGAAAAGTTATATGTAGTAGTTTCAGAACAAATCTCCAAGTAAAGACAGATTTCTTTTTATGGCTATTTAAAAAAAAAATCCTTGCACTTCTTTTAACACATTTCATGTAAGGATCTCAACATATTTCACAGAAGTGGGTGAGTGCTGACATCCCCTCTCCAAAAATAAAACTCAAGACATCACAAGTTTCCTTCTGGAATGAGACTATGAGATACAATGGAACCACATATGACATTACAATTTACCAGTGGAAAGTGTTCAGATTATGACAGACATACCAGAACTTACATAGAATAAATGACCACATTATTAAAAAAGAAAAATGGATGTTCAAGTCATTGTTTAATGAAAGAAGGCTGGCAGCCAAACTGCACCCATGCCTGCAGCATAGGTCACGGCTCCTACGACTCCTTTCTGAAATCCTAGATCTTCCCCCTTGTACATAAGGTACCTAAAATTTAATAAAGATGGTGAACTTCTGCTTGGTTAACTCAGCCAGTAATGGCATTGTCAAACATTGATGCTGGTGTCAACAGACGTGTTGGGTATAGAGGGTACGACCAGCAATATTTTGCGGGTAAAAGGGTACGTGGCCAAAAAAGTTTGAAAGCCACTGCTCTAGGTAAAATACAGACTACATGTTACTTGTAATGTTAAATGGACAAAGATAAAGGAGCTATGTTCCTGTATTGTTTGTAGGATATATCAGCAGTTAATGTAAGTGATATTCAACAGGTTAGGAGAAAGGATGTTATATTAAATATAATATAAATATTTTTCTGCAAGCTTGAGTACAGCCTAACCTTTACCAGCTCAGTTGATACAGGATTTATATGCTGTATTTTTTTTAAGGCAAAATGCACAGCTGGTCAGAGCATTATTGACTAAATTAAATTTTGTTGAAGAATGCCGTTTCAAAACAGTTCACAAAACATGTCAGTTTCAATGAAGTTTGTGAGGAAGGGCACTGTACATTTTCTCATAGAAGCCTTTACTTCTCTGGTCAATCCTGATCAAATTCACAAACACATTACACACAGACTATTAAGCAGTGATTCGCAACATTTTTATACTTGAAACACCCTTCATTAGACTTAAGGCACTCCTTGGAAAATGCTAGCTCTTAGTTTTCACTCATTTTTTGACTACAGAAAAATAATAGAGCAATTGTTCTGCTGCAAAGAACTAAGAAAAACCACAACAGGACAATGTTTTTAACACTGTGGATTCCTATTTGAAACCTCTGGACATACCTTGTGAATCATGTTTGCGCACTTAACAGTGTTAGCATTTCCTGGCACTCTGCAACACCCCTGAAAGGATCTTAAGACACCCCCGAGTGCCATAATACTGTAATTGCGAATCACTGCTATAGAAACTAATGATACTTTCTTTTAGAGACTGGGACCCATATAGAACTAAGGATCACCTAAAACTACAAATAAATACAGATGCAACCCTATCCAAAGCTCTAGGCCGGTTTCAGAGATAGTACAGATTTCAACAGCCTAGCCAAACTGGTTGACAGGTATGTTGGCAAAGACCCCCAGATCGGATTTTAGATGTAATGTAGCTAGGGCCTGTAAAAGTAATCTGTATGCTGACCACAAAGAACAGATGCCAGTGATTTAATTATGAAAGTATGTCAAAGGGTTCAGATTTGGAAATATTACAATGGAGAGCTGCAACTTATAAGCATCACATCCCATCCTTGTGAAAAAGTATCAGAACAGTTTGCTCCTTATTTGCAGAAATATCATTAGGACACAGTGTTATAAAATTAGTTGCAGCTTAAGTTCAGTCTGATCCATTGTTCTGACTTTTGCAGGACAGGAATTGTACTATTCTACAAATTAAAAAATGGCACTGTGTAAGGCAGAAAGTTAAACAAGCAAGCAAACCAAGTCTAGGAATTGTCTTAAATAAACAGAAAGCTGAAAGAAATTGAAAATATTCTTTTTAACAGTGAGTGAATCCATGACTTCTTTCTTTTTTATTCACTTATTTCAACAAGCCTGGAAGTGTACTTTACTTTGGTATCCAGATGTCAAGTGTTTGGAACAGGACAATCAGTATAACAGAATCATAGGGGTGGAAGGCAGCCTCGAGGTTGATCTTATCCAAATGCTCCACAGATGCAGGTTTACTGTTCCTGAACAGTACAATGCAGCATGCACTGTGAAGGGGATACAACCCATTTTCATTGGCCAGTTAAGCAAAGGGGAAGGGAGGTGTGCATGTGTGTGCGTGCAAATTTTTACTCTCTCTGGCAAAATACACAGCATCTCAATTATGACACAAAAGAAATGTGGCAAGAGAAAAGGAGAGGGGGGGGAAAAAAAACAAAATCAAGGCAAAACTGAGACAATTGTTGAAATTTAAGAATAGGCAATGATGCGAAACTAGACTCTTCCAGTATATTTTATTACAATGATTAAATCCGATTATTACTTTTCAATTCTTTGACAAACTTTTTTTCCTTGCATTCCCAACATTCCACCCTTCACTTGAGGTAGGACTGAGCGTTTTCCATACAAAGGCAGCAGAATGTTTGGCACATTGGTTGTGCGTAAAATTTATATTGGCCACCATCTACCATAAATAAGGTGTTACCTACAGAAAAATACTATTCAGATTCAAGGAGAAACCAACTGTCTCAAATTCTGACACTGTAGCAAATCAACAGCACAAACTGACCCACAGAGGGACCGTGGCAGTGTACCATCTGGTCCAAGGTAAAATATAGCAGTGGGGGAAAAAATGTTTTCCTAAAAGAAGTTTTTCTATTTCCCATATTTCACTGACCAAAAAAACCATATTATTTAAATGGCAATTGTTCATTCAGATTAATATGCTGAGTGAAAGAAATATGCCTATATTAACTGTCTTGATTTTCAGCATATCACTTTAATGAAAATGCTGTTTTTAACGTTTAAATATATTTTTAATCTTTAAGTTCAGCTTGTGTATAGATGCTTTGTCGAACAGGAAACTATATAATTCAGTGTTTTACTGAACTGGAGTTATACGCCTAAAAACTCATCATAACAAATCCTAACTTTTCTATTCAACCTGATAATGAACTGAAGTGGAAAAAGCATTATTTTTTTAGAACAAGTCCCAATATTTACAAAACAGCATGACCAGGACTGTTGGCTTTAAAATAAAAGATGCTTTCCTGAGCTCTTCACTTACTATTTTGTATTATAAGGTCATCAGATTTATTGCCATTAAAATTTCCACACAGACCACATGGTTTCCCTTTATGTTCTTCTGTTAGTTTCATATAAATACCAGAGCTTCCATCCCAAGCCAGAGAAAAACCAAAGGTAGTTTTCACCAGAATGTAGTCAGCCAACCTCTCAAAGAAGACATTTCCAATTGTCTGAGGTAAAGTTAATCTGAAAAAACAAAACCACCCAATTCAGAAACCCTAAATATTCTTAGGCGGTAAGAAGGTGAGAGGGACCCTTCTAACACATTTTACCTTTTAACTCATAAAACCTATTCGTCATGTGCACTCAGAGCAGATTTTTTATTTTTTCTCTTCAAAAAGATAAGTTAAAATTACCTTTCACTCCTGTTAGCTTTCTACAATGAATATAGTGAAATAGGTATTTTCTGACATACATGCTAATACTAACCTCTTCTTTTACCATAGAGCCTCTAAGAGTATGGTTTTACAGAATAGTTATGTAGATATTACCGTCAGCCCCTCAACCATCCATGTGCAACCCACCCCACCTGAATTTCCAGGTACTTTCAGACCTGACTAGCTGGCCCAGCTGTGTTTACATTAAAACCTAGGTTCAACTTTCACTCAAAATGATTACCCACTCCCAGTAAGGATAAAAGTTAAAAAAATCCGAATGCCACAGTCCTTCTATAATTTCCCCCATGCACCTAGAAGGTAGGCAAGCTCCACGGCTCACAGGGAGGGTGGGGGAAATCATGGAGCAGCACAGCATACTTCAGAAGCAACAAATAAACCCATGCAATATCCCAAAGGTATTGGAAACACTCATGAGTAGTTTTGCAATGCAACTCACACCTGAGCTAAGCTAATCCAAATAGAAAGTGACCCAGAGCTACCACTACAATACACACATACCATAAATGTAGTGTTTAGAATCATAATTGTCTAATGATTATACTTCATTTTTCTAGTACGATATTCAAAATACTGTCAATTTACTTACCTAATTCCTTCTTTTCTTACTTCATGTCCCAAAATGACTATTTCTTCTTGGTTTGAAAAAAATAAGCTGATTGACCTCAGACAAGAATATACTGAGCCATCACACTGAGGGCTATTATGAACCTTGAGGGGGCAAAAATAGATATATACTAACAACAACTAATTTTTTTACACAACATTTTCAGTAAAATTTTCATATAATGTATTATATTTGTACTTGCATCCCATGGAAGAATCCAGAGAGTTTTGCAAATAAATGGCTTAGATTATATAGAAGTATACAAAGTTATGAGATCCCTTTGCACAACGTTACTGCAATATACAGCAACTATTTCAAAGCATATATGCATATAACATTACTACATAGTTTAGGGGGGGGGAAAAAAAGAGTGGATTATTTCATCCAAAGGACACTACAAAGGAAAGTTAGTAGAGCATAACTTAATTATCCAGATACAAATGTTATGACAATACTGAGATGAGCACCTCAATCTAATGAAAAGTGCCAGAAAACCTTCATAGTCCAGGCATCTGCTCTATTACAGAAGTAACACAATGTCTCAAAACTATACAACACTCTTACCACTGACTTAGACCAAAGATTGCCATCTGCTGAACTACCAGCACCTCCTCTTACACCAATTAGTTTTTCCTCCTTTCAAGTATTGAATCAGTTTGGTTTTAGAAATCTGAAAGGTTTGGTACAGAAGTAACATGAAGTTTTTAACTTGTATAGTCTACTCTGTCAGGGACAGCTTTTCACAACCATACATCTAGAGATTTCTCTCCATTAGAAATGTATAAAATCTGGTTTTCAAGCCTTTCCATCTCAGTAGATTTCTCCGTTTACTGGCAAAAGACTGCTTGCTACTAGAACCTTGAGCAAAGTAAACTATTCCAACAAAAATATTAGGGTATTGGCCAGTATGAAAACGTTAATAAAAAATGCACGCACCCCTGTAATTGATATTAATATAGTGGCAAAAGTTTCTCCAGTAGTCTTGGCCCAAAATCCATAAACAAAACCAAATAAAGCAAAAATAATTGTACAGCCTTAATAAACATATCTCCTGTCCTAATTGGGCACCTTCCCAAGAGCAGGAACATGTGTTCCCTGGAGAAGACTAACAGCAGCACATATTCATGTCTCTGCTAGTTGTCCCTGGAGGAGCACCCCTGCACACATACTCTGGCATATGGCAAATTGCCCTGGGTGGGGTAGGGAAAGCTGGGTCAGCACCTGGTCAGCACCTTCTGGGGCTCCAGCTGCAGTGATCCAGGTGCACAGAGCCTGGCCGACAGGCAGCTAAACCATGGTTCTGGCTGGCCAGGCTCTAGTTTCAGGCAGTGCACATTGCTGCTACATGCACCATCCTGATTGTTTTTTTTCTGATGCAGGTTAGATTTTTTTTGACACTGGGATCTCCTGGTGTCAAAAAAACGCTGCTGCACTGAAAAATCAGCAACGCAGAAGACATCTGCATGCGTACTGCATGCAGTTTGCAGTACCACAGATGGGTCTACAGTACCACAAACTGCATGTGCAAGCTCACGGGGACATGTCCATCAGATTCTTCTATTCAAATTTTTATATAGTGAACTTTAGACAACCCCTTTGATACAGAATCTACATTTATAATATAGGCTGTGTCCAACCCAGGAGATCCAGGTGAGGGAAATCCTCTGCCCTCCATCAATGCTGACCTCATGAAGGAACACCTCGAGAGGTTGGATACCTTCAAGTTAGCCAGCCCTGACAATCTACACCCCAGGGTACTCAAGGAGCTGGCAAGTGTCATAGTCCAGCCCCTGGCACAGATCTTTGAGAACTCCTGGCGCTCTGGTGTAGTGCCCAAAGTCTGGAAGAAGGCCAATGTGGTGCCTATCTTTAAGAAAGGGAGGAAAGTGGATCTGGCAAACTATAGGCCCATCAGCCTGACCTCTATCCTAGGGAAGGTCTTAGAAAAGTTTATTAAAGAGACCATCCTTAATGGACTGGCCGACACCAACATCCTGAGGAATAGCCAGCATGGGTTTGTTGCGGGTAGGTCTTGCTTGA